TGATTGATTGATTGATTGATTGATTGATTGATTGATTGATTGATTGATTAGTAATAATAAATTGATTGATAAACGATAGAAAAATTTGTATAACTTTTTTTATCGCTCTTTGAAATCTTCTACCTGACATCGTTCTGAATGAAAAAAAACAAATATTTGGAAATAACTGTAAAATTATAGATATATTTTTTAGTTATCATTGAAAATCAGTTTATTGCAATCTTGATTGATTGACATTTTGCAAAAATTTGAAAATTTTAGTTCCAGGTGGTTTTGCTAGATGAGTTCTTCAATGAACTTTATCACATCCATCCTGCATTCATATCATTATGCTGTATCATATTGAGGAGAAAATAAGATATTGTATTGTATTATTATTGTATTATATTACGTCACTTCCGCCGGGACTGCAACCAAATACAAAGATCCGATTTTGAAGATCTGAAGCGGAAGTATCTCGGGTTGCCATGGATATGGTTTGGAGGTCTGCGGATTAATAGAAGAAATGACCAAATAATATTAGGATTGACAAAAGGTGACAAAATAGAGATGTACTTGGCCGGTTGGTAACAAGATCGGTTTCGGATAATGACATTCTTCCTCCTCAATGGATTTGTTGAAGAATTTATCGGTTATTTTTTCAATGGCATCTACAGTCTCTAAACTACCTAGCAGTTTTTAGTGCGGTTGGTTGTGTACTTCATTACATTATTTTACATTTTTGAACTATTATTAAATGATTTATAATAATAAAATATTTCGAAACCTTGAGTGAATGGCGGCAAAGCTGGTCCGTCTGTAGCTCCGGCTCCGAAACTATAGCCCATGGCTGGCAGGCATGTGTTTACGCTCTGTGTTTAGATTAAGTGATGGCAAATTGATATTAAATGTTTAATTGATTGAAACGTGGCATAAATGGATTGTTTATTAAAGACTTTAATGATATTAAGGTAACTTCGGATAAATTGAAGCACCTTATTTCCTATTTTAATTTCCATTTGACTCATTTTGACCCACTGGTGTCCGTAATCTATCCAGCCTTGCAACTTCTCAAATTTTTCTCCTAAGAACCGCTGAATTAATATTATAAATCAGAGTGCTATTCGTAAAAGAATAGACGTTAAAAACACTAATAATAACTTTAGCATGCATAAAAATTTTTTCTCCGACGATTTTAGAATCTCTGAACTGTTCACCGTCTGGTCCCCTTCCTGTGCACAACCGGGGCTGGAATTTTAATAAAATTTATTTTTTCTCGTTATTCAAAAGTTTCAATAAAACAATTTTGTATTAATAAGCAAAATACGAACATCGTTTTCATCCTCAGGACAGGTGCTGTTGTCGTAGGAGCAGAATTCATCGGTGTTCACACATCTTGCACCATTCAAGTTGGGAGATGAATCTCCGTGCACTGTCTGTCCTATTGCCGTCACTACTGGACCCTAGCATTGTGCGAATTTTGAGCACGTTGTATTACTTCAAGCATTTCAATTCAAAATTTTTTGTTGCAAACTTTTCCAGGGAAGGAGTTAGGATTGAGGTGTTGTTCCAATTTCAAAACTGCATACCCCAGATTATCAGTACTGACGAGGTGATTATAGTTCTTCAAACTCACTGGATGCACCCCAAATAAACTTGGTGCGAAAAATTGTGAAAAAAAATTACATTTTTAAAGTTTATTAATATCTGTAATAAAAAATTAATTTTGGTTTGCGTAGACTTGGTGTCCAACAGTCCAAGATAAATAAAACTGTATATATCGTGCCAACCCTATAAGACCGGACAATTTCTGTTGCTTGTTCAAAAATTTCATCAAGTACATCGTTTTCTCAGTTTCTTCGTCACCATACCTCGATTTAAATATATAGCAAGCTATAATTTAGAACATTTTCATATTAAAAAACTCAAAACTTGAAATATTTCATATTGTTATACGTTTAATTAAAGCGAAATTACACGTTGCACATGCACGAATAATATACATATTAACAACCCTACATTTTAACTTCTTCAGGAGGGTTATTGTAGTAAGCGTAGGGACTCCTGTTAACTGACGCACCGAATAATTTACTCCTGTTGACGTAGATGTCAGTTGGTTCCATCTTCTTATAGGCAGAGATGATGCTCTAAAAATTGTCGTTTCATTACATATATAGCATATTTTGACGCGAATAATAAAGTTAAATTTAAAACAATTGAATTTTAAAATTGGATTAAGGTAACTGCAAAAGCTGAGGTAGAAGTAGTCGAACATTTGCGATGCCATCGACAAGAACACGATAGGTTTCGTTGATGAACCCCTGTGAAGCCTTCTGATACATCCAGTAAGTGTGGTAGCCGCCGGGCAAAGAGTGCGAGTGGGTAGGTAGCAACATCAAGTTCTTCTCGCTGAAGATCGGTCCGATCTGATTGTTCAGTTTTTCCAGTACCTTCATGAGCGATGATTATAAAATGGTGGTTAGTCCGGATAATCAAAAATGGACAGCTTAATTTATAACATATTTCCACATTCTTCTACAATCTGAATAGAAATCATCCATGGCAATTAGTAAATTTATCAATAATTTTTCACAAATGCGTTATCACCAACAGAGTTCTGAAGTTCTATTAAATACACATACTTCCAGCCTAACAGCTTGTGAAATCATGCAAACATCGACGATGACGACCGACAATGTTTTTGATAAATCGGCGACCACAAACGCCCTGCTAAACTGTCTTGTGTGCATTCCTCTGGCATCTTGGGCCGGATTTGCGTAACCGTACTGAAATTGTTCGAAAGTACTTAGTTACTCGGTATTAAATTAATTTAATCATCTTATTAACAGCATAATTAGTATTGTTGTGAACTTCATGTTCATCATAGATTAATTTCGCAATTGGTAATGTAATTAAAATTGATGTTTGTTTACCAAAAGCCCTTCAGTGACAAGCCCTGTGATGTCAGCCACACTACTCCCGACCCTGTAGGATTGACAGACTACGGAATGTATGCAACATAAAAAAATTGATAAAATTAGAATTAATTTTATCATTGTTCAAAATGATTTTTCGCAAAATGTAACAATTCTTTATTCGTTAAAGGCAGTCTGTTGGTTTTCTCCTTATACGTTTCAACAGTCTGTATGGTTATTATCATCAGAAAAGTGATAAAAGTTTTAAATATATGCTATTGTTCGTCATTATAAGTGGCTGATAAGATAATAAAATATAAAAAATTATTTGCGAACGTTGTACTTCATTTTGAGATTATTTAGATCATAATTGAAAATTCATATCAGTTTTTACAATATTTAAAAAAAAAATCTAGCATTAAATGTAACAATATTTTAAATACTTTACAAAATCTTTCGTTAACTGCGGGAGGACGTCATACGTGTAATGGCTCTTGATTCGTTTTTCACCTTGTATCATAAATAAATATACAGCGCTAGGAAATTTGTTTACATTTGTTGTTTCCGGAAAAATTGGTTTTGTTCTTTTTGCATTTGTTTAGAGAAGGTTCGTGACTGGGATTTGTTTTGTTTTCATCTTTTTGCATCGTTCTCATAAATTAACAATTAACTGAGTAAATCATTTTTACAGAGAAATTTTATAATGTACTGTAGTTTTAAACGCTCAGTTTTAAATTCATTGCAGCGAAATGGGTAAGTTCATGAAATCAGGCAAAGTTGTGCTCATACTAGGAGGAAAATATGCTGGACGGAAAGCAATAATCGTCAAAGTATGTTGTGCCATTGTAAATTGTAGTTTTTCTTTAATTTTTGTGGCATTAGACATTTATTTTTTGTGTTTATTCAGAATTATGATGATGGCACCTCTGAGAAACAATACAGTCATGCTCTCGTCGCTGGGATCAGCAGATACCCTCTGGCTGTCACCAAAAAGATGAACAAAAAGAAGATCAAAACAAGGTCCAAGATTAAGCCATTCATTAGAGTCTACAACTATAATCACTTGATGCCAACTCGGTTTGTTTTAATTTTAAATTTTAGTAAGTTTCATGCTTCAGTTTATTTTGGTCTATTTGGCTTTGTGCCATAGACAAAATCACATGTTTCAAAGGTTTTTTTCCTAACATTTTTTATCATTCTAAGATCCTATTGTGTTCACTAATGGAATATGTAATATTTATAACAGTGTTCTGTTTAATTAACTAAAAATTCATTGTAATCACTGAGTAGTTATACAGTTGAGGTGAACTTGGACAAGCAATTGGTTAACAAGGATGCATTCAGAGATCCAGCCCTTCGATCCAAAGCCAGGAGGGAAATCAAAGCCAAGTTTGAAGAAAGGTATAACTTGCACATTACCTCACTAAACCATTGCATGTTGATAAATTTTAAATTAGTGAAATGGAATTTACATTTGATGCCATTTAAATTAGTGAAATGGAATTTACATTTGATGCCATGAAGAATTACAATGCTATTTCAGTTGTCATTGTTAGTATTGCTCAGACATCATGGCATACTATGATGTGAATTGTTTTCTATTTTGCATGCATTGATTGCATTTCAAATTTTAAACTATTCACAAACATCATAATATAATTTTGTAATTTGCTATTCTCAAGACAAAATTATTAACATCAAAATATTTTTTGCTCTGCATAGATACAAGACAGGCAAGAACAGATGGTTCTTCCAGAAGTTGAGGTTCTGATCAACTTGTGCAACATTCGAAAAACTATTTGCGTTGACATCGGATAATTGTTTTGTGTCACAATAAAATGTTGTAAATTATCTTTTTGTTTTGCTTTTTAAGTTGGTGCAAAACAAAGCGAAAACAAATTTTGATTTTTTGTTTGAAACACGGTTCAAGTAGTAAGAACATAAATTTGATAGGTACGCAGTCAAAATTTATAGATTTTTGTCTGTTGTGTCACTTCATTGAGAGAGCTTAAGTTGTTCCACCACCCATCGAGAAATTCGTTCGCTATTAACTTGAACCATGGTGTTATTAGTGTTCCACTTGATTCAGATTCTATAAATGTAAAAAATTAGTCAAGGTAATGCGGTGCATTAAAAGAAAAATTCTACAAAGCCAAACAAAAATTTGCTGATCGACATTGCTGGATTAATTAAGATTCTTGATATGCATGTTCAGCAGTTTATCAAATTTTAGCATAAACTTTTAAAGATGGTTAACATTTCAAAAAAGTCTAATGATGTTTGCAATACTAACCTAAAAGTTTTTTTAATCCTTGACTGTCTACATATTTAGTTTCTTTAACTTCATTGTTGTTAGGATTTAGTGTGACATCTTTCTGTACAATAAGGATGTAATCTATCTCATGCTCACCCCATGTGTTGTCAGCTGGAACGTTTTCAGATTTGTACTTGATTCTCATCAAATATTTGAAACTGTCAAGTGGAACCTTCAGAGAGAAAAATTGTTTCGGTCACAAATTTATAAAGCTGTGATGATAAATGTGATTACTTCTGCACTTTCTATTCCTAGTTCGTGTTTCAGTTTTCTTTGAGCTGCTCTTTTTACACCAATTGCATCATCTTCCTCTAATTCAAGGGGTATGTTGAGAGGATGACTACAACATGTGTTGGTCCAATGATCTGAGGATGTGCGTTAGTGTGTCATCCTATTATATTATTATTATTTATAATGTGAAAATGAATTTGAAAAAATTTTATAATTTATACCAGGGTAAGTTATTTTTGCTAACGATCGTTGCTGAAGTAATAATTCATTCCTTGAATTGAATAGAAATACACTAAAGGCCCTGTGCAACATTCCTGTCAAGTGTAATAATTATACTGCAATTGTTGTCAATGGCTAGTACAAATGTTTGAAAAACGAACATTATTTGTTTACCTTTGTTTATATTTTCTAGTTTGTGACACACTTTTTTTGAAGCAGATCCAATTTTTTTGTCACTTTCATCCACTAGGATGCATTCTTCTTCCATCAGTTTTATTTGGATATCATCTTTTCCGTTTAGACCATGTTCCATGGTTACTGAGTTTTGTAAAATTGAACTGAAATTATATTTTTATAACATTTCAGGTATTATAAAATTAAAATAAAAAATAATCAATGGCTAAGGCTAAGATGAGCTAAACAAAAAAAAGTAAAGATCTTGGTAAACTCATTAAAATCAAGTAACCAGTGCGATAATTTAAATAAAAAGTTAACAAAATTTCCGTTAATTCAAAATTTACCTTTTATAAAATGATCGGGCGCAATGTTTTGTTCTTCTACAGTTATTAAATCTTGATCGTACGATCGAAATCAGCACCATGTTTTTCGAACTTTATCTTCATAATGCACTTTTAACCTAAAAGTTTTGGAATGCTTAATTTATTATATTTTAATCTAATTATATGGATATATGCATATAATTAGAATATATGTATATATTTATATGCATGATTTTAATACAAATAGCGGATGAATACCACTTTTCAGTTGTTATATAATATAATGATGCAAACGCTTCCCATTCATAGATAAATATATATATATATATATATATATATATATATATATATATATATATATATATATATATATATATATATATGTTGGTAATAGACCATAATTTTTACAATATTCTATAAATTCTACCGAATGTTTGGCGTTAATATGTTTGATAAAAATCGAAAAAACGAACTACAAACATATTAACGCCAAACATTCGGTAGAATTTATTGAATATTGTAAATATATATATATATATATATATATATATATATATAAACTGATGTGTATGCTGAAAAGAAAGTTTAACTTAATCAGCTGATTTTTGGATGTCTTAATAATCATATGATGCGTATAGTTCAGTGATCATGACATACTTCGAAAACATACAGAGAATATAAATGGTTTTTTTAATATGTAAATATAAAATTATAAGTGTGTTTCTGCAATGTAATGGCTCAGCAAACACAATGTACTTCGGCAGATAGATTGATTAATCATGATAGCATCCAGTTTTCTGATGCACTGAAAGTGTTCGAATTCAACCAACTATCAAATCTCAAAGTATACCATGTGTCTTTTATTAATGTTCTTTTGCGTATGCTGTATGCGTTGTAGTTGATAGTTTTGAGAAAAAATAAAGAATAAACCAATGTTGAACCAGATATTCATCGTATAAACTTAAAGCCACATCAGTCAATCAATGACTTATGATTGAAATTATATTATGAAAACATTCGTATTATTAGAAAACGAATTCTGGGCAGCGGAATATTACAACTATAGTATATAGCTCAGAGAAGGCATCTCTACTCTAAGTATATGAGGCAGTTTTCAAAACAGTTTGATGGCTGGATGAAATGCTAAGTATTCTAAGTAGTTACTCTAAACTTGAACTGTAATGGGAAATATAAACCAAGAGCAGAAAAAATTGCGCTTTAGATAAATATATGTTGGTTGATAGGGTTCGGCCAGCTCAGCTGCTGTTGTGTTGTTACAATTAATTTTATTTCTTAAGCAAATTGGTCCTTTTAATTAAATGCTTTCTCATTCTACCGGCATAAAATTAAGTCTTTCGGTCAAATTATTATTTTGCAAAAAATAATGGATCTGTTTGTTGACTGGGAAGACGAGAGAGATGGCTTTTCATTCGAAGATAGCGACAGATTTGAAGATGATTCGTTGTGTTCCTGGGCTAGTGAGCAAGACAGTCTGTGCAACAATTGGAGGGGGTGGCGGAAGGCCAGTGCTCTGGGGTCCACCGGCATTCCCAACAATTCCATTTTCGGATACTTTAATAACTCTCAGCTAAATAATGTAGGCAATTCATCCAAGACGTCAGGTAATTTTCTAATTTACTTAATTTAATTTATTAAAATTTTAATTTTGACTAACTTTAATAAAAATTCAAAATGAATAAAATAAATAATACACACATTCTTTTAAGATTTAAGTTAAAGTTGTTAGCAGCAAAGTACTTGATTAAATTATAACACTACAATGTAATAAAGTGAATTATTAACATGTTCTTTAACAATTTACATGATTTGTTACTGTGCTAAAAAAAGTAGTTCTAGAGATCTTTATTCATTTTGTTTTGTGTTAATGTTAAAAATGAAAATTATTTGCAGATGGCCAGCTGATGTCACTTGCAGAACTGTCAGCAAAGGCAGTTGCATACTACATCCCTTTTGAAACAGTTGAAAAATTTTATCCACCCATTCCAGAGCAACTCCAACTTAGGATAGCTTTCTGGAGTTTTCCAGAAAATGAAGATGATATAAGGTTGGATCAGAGTGTTGAATTTACTATTAAACCATACAATATTCAACTGATTATATGAAAATGCCTCAAGATATACGTTATTGGATAAAAATTTAAAAAAAATAGGCTGTACTCGTGCTTGGCTAATGGCAGTTCTGAGGAATTTTCTCGTGGGGAATCTCATTATAAGAACAAATGTCTTTCTGGGGTCTTACAAATAGGTTTGTTGTGTATTCGAACAGAATGGTTGAGAATTTGTGTAAAAATTTTGGCAAAATTGTAAATATTTTATATTAATATTTCATATATTTTATTTTTTTCTTAATTCATAATTTTTATTTGTGGTTTTGTTTTATGCCTTTACTTGAAAACTATTCTTTATTCTTGCCATTGACATTTACCTAACCCTTGATGCAGGTTTCCACTTGAGTGGCACAGTAACGGCCAACAATTTCAACAAGGGCTCTTACAATGTGGCCATCGTATTCGACAGGAAACACATAACTTCATGCACCTGCACGTGCAGCATTACTGCAACGTGGTGCTCACACGTGGTTGCTTTGTGTCTATTTAGGATTCATCAGGTGGGTTGTCTGTCTGGTTGTTTGGAGGTTTTTCAACATAAAGGTTTTTAGTGTATAGTGATGTGTGTGTAACTCAAGGCCTGTGTATGGTTAGGTATACATATTGTATGTTTAAAATTATGTGTCTGTCTGAACTTTACCGGTGTATATATGCATATTTAAACGTGTGTGAGTGTAGGTGTGTGTGTGTGTGTATTTTAATGTTTCATTCATAATATGTGTTTAGCTGCTCACACAGTTTTTGTCACTCTAGTACTCAATTTTTTAAAGAACATGGGGTTTATTGAATGATTTATCAATTTATGGCTGTTTTACTTGTGATGTAAACATGAAGCATTAAGCATTTGTACAATTTTGGCAATAAATTTCCCAAAATTCACAGGCCAATCAGGTGTGTCTGAGAGCTCCCGTCTCGGAAACATTATCCAGACTGCAGAGAGATCAGCTGCAGAAATTTGCTCAATACTTGATCAGTGAATTACCACAACAGGTCGTTACGACGGTGACGACGACGACGATGATGACGACCATGGCTACGATGAAAATGTTGATGACAGTATTAATTATAATATGAATAATAATTGAAACAGTGAATTGTTATGTGATTTGATCAGGATGATTGATGTGATGATTTGAATATGATGATGATGATGATGATAAGAAATAACAGTGATGAAAGTGTGGTGAAGGAGGTTGTTTATGGTGGTGATAAAAATCTGTACAACTGCTTTGACACTATTATGAAATCATCATCCTAGTCATCATCAATCATCTCCGTAGATTTTGCCGACAGCCCAACGTTTGCTGGATGAACTGTTATCCTCTCAGAGGAATGACATCAACACAGTTTCTGGAGCTCCAGGTTTGGTTGATGTTTCTGAAGTAATAATGCCATCATCATCATCATCGAGTCAGTACATCACCATCTAGTCACATTTCATCACCATTGTATCATTATTGTATTATTTTATCATTAGCATCATATCATAACATTAACTCTATCTCACAATCATATCATTTTCATATATGTATGTGTGTTGATATGTGTTTATATGTATGTATATATCTGTTTGCATGTACTTCTATAGCTATACAGATGTAATTTTATTTATTTGGTGTTATTCTAATGTAGTTTATTTTTATGTAGCTAATTTATTAATTATTATTACTGTTGTTTCTGTTATTACTATTATTCTTTTAATTTGATGGGTATAATTATGTTATGTTATGACTTAATTACATATTAACAATATAGAGTTAATATATGTAGGCCATTGTGATGATTAGTTATAATTACACCATCACACTACTCTCTGATCAATCATTTCTGTCAAGTTTCTGAGAATTTTTTACATTTCCAGTTGAAAATTAAATTATCTTTTTGTTGTAATTACATTTAAGTTAGGTTAAGAAAATAATTACCCCGCATAAATTATGTTAATTTTATGCAGATCCAACTGCTGGTCCGTCAGCCAGTGAGCAGACTACATGGTGTCTGGATGAATATGCATTGCATGAAAACATCAAAAAAACTTTAGGAAAATTTTGCCTCCCCTCTCCATTGGTTTTAAGGTTTGAAATGGTTTTTTTGGAGTTGTGTGAATGTTGCTAAAGATTTTATGTGGCCTTGGAATAAATTATAAGTGATTATTACTATTATAATAGTTTAGACTGTGGTAGTGCTAGCTAATATTATTCTTTTATTTGTTTCGTCTGATAAATTTGATGTTTTTTTTTATTTATTTAACTTTGCTTGATGTGATGTCTAAACTTTATGATCGGCGTATTTAAACTTAGAAATAAAATTCTACAAACTGTTTTGAATTGAAAAGTTAGATGGTGATTGAATTAAATTAAATGATATTCAAATAAATCAACAAAACCCTCCAAGCGATGTGAACTACCTGTCAAGCAGTGCCCCACCAGCTGCCTCTGAGTGGCAGTCCCTACTGAGACCCTTGAGGGGGCGTGAGCCAGAGGGAATCTGGAATCTGCTATTGATTATTAGAGAGATGTACAGAAGGAGGGATGAGAATGGTATGCCCCTGTTGGAGATTCTCACAGAGGAACTTATTGACTGCGATGTGGTTAGTAGTTGCTGGCTGCCATCATTTGTTTGGTCGAAGCTTCAAAATTTTTTCATTCTATTGAGAGTACACTGAATTGTTTGTACCTTTATTTATTTCCAGGTGTTGACATGGTGGTACAACAACAAAATGCACATTCACCACCACAACAACAATCACCACCACGGTGCCAACCACAACAATGGTGGTGGGGCAGGCAACAGAGCTCTACACAACAACAATGGAGGTGGACAGGCCTGCAGTTCGGCTACCCAATACGCTGCTGCCAGCGTCTGCGACGAGTTAGTCTCTCTCTGGAAGTGTTCTGCTTTGAATCCACTACTGCCTGATCAGGAGAGAGAAAGTTTGTACCACCAGTTGAAATCCTATCATGCTCAGGTTCTGGAGAAGTTGCATTGTCGCAACCGAGGACAACCTGCGTTTGCAAAGTCAGAGTTGGAAATTTTTGTTGGGTTCAAGCCAGCAATTGAAGTTTGTAAGCTGGATTGGGATGTGTTGATGTCTGCTAGTTCCTGCCCAACGTGTTTTGATACGGGCCATGTTTCTTCTAAAAGCATGGATGCTAGCAACGGTGATGTCGACAGCTGCAGAGGAACCATCCACAATATCGTTGCTGACAAATCACCAAACAGCAACAATGTTCACAAAGCCAGCTGCTCAAAAACTAAAAACGCAAAGTTTATTTCTCCAACAACGACCAAATCAACATGGCTCAAACCTCTGTCAAAATTGCGAGATATTAGTTTGTCATTCAAAGCCATTCACTCTAGAAAATTGAACAACAATACTCTGTTGCTTGATCCGATGGTCAGCAACAACAGCAACAACAACACTTCATCTATCGAAAGCACAACCAACAACACCAACAATAGGGTGATTTCTTTTGGCATGTCTGGTGCACTGTCCTTTTTAAATATGAACAACACTGGTCGCCACAACAACAATGGATTCAATGGCATGTTCAACAGTAATCCACTGTCAATTGTTGATGGGGATTTCGTCATCGGAAACATCAACCCGCCGAAGGTTTCTTCCTTTCCAAATTTGTTTTCCTCCATATGTGGATTATATTACCTCATGCACTGTTTAATCATTATTTACTGAGCTAGTTGATTCTTTCTTGTAAAATTAATTCGGTGGTTATTGCTCTTAAATCATCTTTTTTAATTTTGTGATTGTCTATTTGGAAAATACATCTGTTGTGAATTGTTGTAGGTTATTTATTAAATCAATCAATTAATTAATTGATTAATTAATTAATTATTATTGAAGGTTTCTGAGTTTTCAGCTCCATGCTACTTTGCAGATGTGAGAAACATCTTAGTTGTGCAAGAGGTATTTATATCTAAGTGTATGATGTAAATTTTAGTTACACCATTATCATTTTTGAATCCACATCACCACACAAATCTACTCATCATCATCATCAGTACGATTCGTCATCATCATCTTCACCATCTTCATCCTCCAGGCTAAATTTGCAATAGCAGAATCGCTGTATGTGCACGGTTACATCTCGATAGCCAGTGGCGTAGCCCTGGAGCTTGCGGAGGAAATGTTAGCAGCGAAGGAAATAGTTGAAAAACAACAGCAGATGAATAAACAAATTGGAACGATATCGTCGACG